GAGAGAGAGAGAGAGAGAGAGAGAGAGAGAGAGAGAGAGAGAGAGAGAGAGAGAGAGAGAGAGAGAGATCCTCTGATCTCCGTTTCTCGGTCTTTTTCTGTCTCCATCTTCTATGTATGGATGGATGTATCCAGGAGGGAGCGACGTCAGCAGCCCCTCATCTGTCTTTTTCTTTGTCTGCTTATCAGTTCGTTTCTGTCTGTCTCCCTCTCTCTCATTCTTTTCTCTCTCTCTTTCTCTCGTTCTACATCTCTAGCACTCCTTACAACGGTTTTGAGAAATCGACCAGGTACGTTTGTGACGAGGATTGCCGCCGCCGTTGCTGCTGCTACTGTTGCGTTCTTAGAATTATTCAGGTGGTCGCGACACCTATTGAACCACCACTACCTGCAGCACGACTGGCACAGAAAAGGATCCAGACAAAGTCTGGAGGCCCGTAACGCACCAATGCCGCCGATGGATTTTATCGACGGCGGGCGCAGCCTCCTGACACTTCAGGTGGTAGGCTACTACTTGAAAGTCCGAGGCCTGCAGGTATTGGTGGTTTAACAGTTTTTTTTTTTTTTTTTTCGCTTTTGCGCTCTGATATTTATGTGATGATATATATATATACGGTTTACCGGGCAGTTCTATTTGACGATATATATATCTGATATTCATGTGACGATATATATCTGTAAATAAATAAATAAATAATTGTAGACATATGTATCTTCATCGAATGCCTCTATGGATGGCTGTTCCATTCGCTTTGTTTGTTCTTTGTCTCTCTTTCTCTCTCTTTCTCTCTTTCTCTCTTTCTCTCTCTCTTTCTCTCTCTTTCTCTCTCTTTCTCTCTCTTTCTCTCTGTGCCTCTCATTGAAGGAGAGTGGCAAAGGATTGCGATAATCTCCATCTCCACAATGACACAAAAAAATTCGCTCTTTAGGGGGAAAGCAACGAAGGATTGTCTACTTCTTTCCCACTCCCTCTCTCTCTCTCTTTCTCTCTCCCCCCCCCCCCTCTCTCTCCTCGTCTTGTCTCTCTCTCTGCCCTTCGCTCTCTGCGGTCAGTTTGTAACATCCATCGCGGCGCGCAATCTGTAGACCTCTCTCACTTCCCCATGTATATATATCCACGTGGCCGAAAAAAAAGGACATTTATATATGTATGCAAGAGGGTTTGAACAGGGGGAGTTGTAAGTAAGAGGATACAAAATGAATCGATTTTTTTTGTTGTTTTTTTTTCGCTTTTGCGCTCGGATATCTTTGTGACGATATATATGTACGTGTTTCGACTTCTTTCCCCTCGATATATAAAATACCTGTCATAGAGATATGTATAAACTTGGGTCGATATGACACACGGGCGTGGGGGCAGCCGCTGCTCAACCTACATCCACGTGGGCGGCCTTGTACGCAAGAGGAGGTTCTGAACAGGGGGAGTCTTGTAAAGAAGAAGATTAAAAAATGAATTCATTTTTTCTTGGTTTTCTTCGCTTTTGCGCTCTGATATCTTGTGACGATATATATATATATATGTGAGCCCCTCGTTTGTTGTCCTCTTCTCTCTCTCTGCCTACGGTTTTACCGGGCAGTTCTGTTTGTGACGATATATATGTGACGATATATATATTCATGTGACGATATATATATGGTTTCTTTCTGTTTTTTTCGCTTTGGCGCTCTGATATCATGTGACAATATATATACACAGCCCCTTGTTTCTTGTCCTCTTCTCCCTCCCTCTCTGCCTACGCTTTACCGTATGCAGCTCAGTTTGACCATATATATTGTCACACTGTAAATCAGAGCGCGAAGGCGAATATATCTGTTTAGTTATTGAGAACTGCCCGGTGAACCGCAGGCAGAAAAGACAAGAAACAGGGGGCTCTGACAGGATGCTGAATGGATAAATATAGAGATATATAAGCGTAGGCAGAGAGGGAGGGAGGGAGAAGAGGACAAGAAACGAGGGGCTGTGACATATATGAATATATGTATTATATCAATTTATATGTATATATGTTTCCATGGTTGAAGCCTTGAACGAGTAGCTTCCGTGAAGACATATATGTATATTTATACGCAAGAGGTTCTGAACAGGGGGAGTTGTAAGGAATAAGAAAAAAAATGAATTGATATCTTTTTTGTTTTCCTTTTTTTCGCTTTTGCGCTCTGATATTTATGTGACGATATATAGCCCCTCGTTTGTTGTCCTATTCTCTCTCTCTGCCTACGGTTTACCGGGCAGTTCTGTTTGTGACGATATATATACAAAGATATATATAAATATGTATATATCATATATGTATATATTTAGTCTTGTATGTCCTTGATCTTCTCCGCTTCTACGTTGGTTCCCGCCCGCCCTCCCTCCCTCTCCCTCTCGCTACCTTGGTTGTATCTCTTCTCTCCTCCTCTCCTCCCCCTTCTCTCCTCTCCCCCCTCTCCCCCCTCTCCCCCCTCTACCCCCTGTCCTCTCTCCCCTCTCTCTCCTCTCTCCTCCTCTCTCCTCTCTCCTCTCTCTCCTCGCTCTCTTTTCTCTCCTCTCTCCTCTCCTCTCTCCTCTCTCCTCTCTTCTCTCTCTCCTCTCTCCTCTCTCCTCTCTCCTCTCTCCTCTCTCTCCTCTCTCTCCTCTCTCCTGCGATCCTTCTTAAGTTGACTTTGTCGTTCGGTTGCTCTCTCTTTTCTCTCTTTCTTTGCGTCGCGGTATTGTCTCTCTCTCTCTCTCTCTGTGTCTGTGGCTTGGCTCTGTACTGCTCTAGCGCATGTTGCGTGAAGAGCGGGGATCGGGGTCGGGACGTCGCAAGGAAAGGGAAAACGACGTCACGACCCCGGCAGAGTAGGGAGACTGTCGCGGTTTCGTTCCTTAATGGTTCCCCCCC